TGTACAGTCCTCCCACTCCCCTCAATCTCATGATATATTCTCATTAGGCAAAGATCTGTGTCTTATTCATATTTGTATCTAGGGCACAGCACTGGGCCAGACACAGAAGCAGTTGCTTGGAGATTATGGAATAGATAGATGAATGAATAAATGATCCTTGCTACTTACTTACTTAAAGGAAAAACTCTAGTAATTCTATGAGCATTTAATGAGACTAGCTAATTAAGATAAAATTCTTCTAATGTGCACTGTATCAATGTTTGGCATAGAAATATTCAGTCTTAATCCCTGCCCTTCAAAGACTTCATGACTCTGTGGCTGCAGAGATGCCAGACAGCATGGTGCTGCCACAGAAAGCCATAACAGCTGGGGAAAGTTCTGGCCTTTCTACTATACTGGACTCTGTACCTATTGATGAACACTTCTTCATTTAATTTTTCTCATATACAAAGTAAGAACATTGGACTAGATAAGTACTTTTCAAAAAAATTTTAAGGACATATACCTTAAAAATATTAAATGGAACCCTAAACATATATTCAAAAAAGACAAAAGTAGAACTATTTTGATCAGTTGAACTAGCCATGATGCTTATGGGATGCCCAACTTGGTCCCCATTGATATTTCTCTTTCTCCTCACTCACATCCCCAGACACGGCCCCAAGACATCTCCCTGTAATCTAAGGTTACATTGAATCCAGTCAGAAAACCAATGACATAAAAACCAGTAAGGTTTATAACAGTTATAAACATTCAATAAATCTACTGTGATTTGCTATAAGGTTCTAACGTCTACTTCAAGATGCCTCCTGCACAAATCCTGTATGCAGCATCCTACAAATTTTGCAGCATCACCATCTTTCCCGTAACTATTTTCTAAACTACACACTTGTAGGCTTATCTTTTAAGAAATGTGGTTCCTTGCATTACCATTACCATTCTTTCTATAGCCTTTTATGGAGCCTTCATTATATATAAACACTGTGATTAGCAAAGGAAGAGATAAAAAGACAAATTCAGACATGTATCATTTCCTAAAAGGATTTACAGTCTAATGGTACCTTACTACGAATAACCATAATGGGGTGTAGAAACTGCTGGTGTTATCAGACAAAGTAAAATGGAAGCTTTAGGCTGAGATCATACTTCTGGTTTGGCAAGATCAGGAAAGAATTCAAAAAAACAGATGGAATAGGAGCTGGGGTGTAAAGATGGTAGGCTTTGAACATAAAAAGATTATGGGACACACGTTCCTAGCAGAGGTGACTTCATGAACACTGGCAAAAAGGGACGCAGGCATGGGACTAGCATGGCTGGCTGAACCTAGCGGAGCCTAGTTGAAATAGTGGCTATGTGTAGACAAGAATGGAGAACAAAATCAATTATTGGAAGAATGTGAAGGGCCTAATTAAAGCTTTACAGCACAGGGAGTATCATAGAGGTTCAAGTTCAGGAAAGTCTAGAGACGGTAGCCCTTGCTAAGGAGGCAAACAGTGCCTGGAAAAAAAAAAAAAGGGCAGGAGTGAAGAGGAAGGATGCTGTTTGGAGCCATTTTTGCAGGGGTTGGAAGAGGTGACGTGGGAGGGTGTCAAAGATGATGTGAAGGCTAAAATCCAGGTAAGCCGGAAATGCTGGTGTCATTAATAGAAATGGAGCACACATGACAAAATCTGGAGACAGATGATGAGTGTTTAGCGCCAGCAGAAACATCCTGCAGGAAAATGCAAACATTGAATTGAAACTTGGGAAACAGGTCAGCCATATATATATATATATATATATATATATATATATATGAAGAATTTTTACAGAAATGGAAGAACAAGTTTTAAGAGTGAATTTAGATTGCTGAGGAGGAAACTACATAGGAAGAAGACAATTATAACTGTGGATCTAACACTGACGGATAATAACGAAGAAAATGGGTCAGAGAAAGTGTAGTTAGAGAGGTATGGGAGAACTGGGAGAACACAGTGTTATAAATAATTATATCCATGTACATATGCATTTGTCAAGGAAAAACCTTTTTTTTTTTTTTTTTTTGAGACTAAGTCTCATGCTGCCACCCAGGCTAGAGTGCAATGGCGTGATCTCGGCTCACTTCAACCTCCAGTTCCTGGGTTCGAGCAATTCTTCTGCCTCAGTCTCCTGAGTAGCTGGGATTACAAGCTTGTGCCACCATGCACAGCTAATTTTTGTCAGAGATGGGATTCACCATGTTGGCCAGGCTGGTCTCTAACTCCTGACCTCAAGTGATCCACCTGCCTCAGCCTCTCAAAGTGTTAGGATTACAGGCATAAGCCACCGTGCCCAGCCAGTTAGTTCCTTTTCTAAAGGATCACATACATTAATATATGTCAGTGTTCTGTGAAGTGTGTTCTAAAAAAACCCCACCAGTTTTAGTAGATGTTAAAAGACACTTTAAGATTAAAAAAAACTCAGTGATTTAATAAGTTGGGGTACTGGCCCTTTATCTCCTACAGAAATTCAAGATGTACATCAGATTTTTAAATTCAAATTTTTCCTGCAGAAATCCAAGATGTACATCGATTGAACAGGCTGGTAACAGAGAAATCTGTTTAATTTTGTTTGAGCTAGCATTTATTCCGAGACTTAGTTGACCCATAAGCCCTTTGTTTTATATTTGTTTGATAGTGCAGTACTTCTTCCACAGGAGGAAACATTGGTATATAGTAAAAATAAGAAATTTATAGAACATTAGAAATCGAAAAACACTTGTGGTCATTTCATCCAATTCCCTCATTTTATAGGTGAAGACAGAAAGTTAATTATATGATAACCACTATAGTGTCTTCTCCTAATTCTTGATAAAGTAGTATATGTATATATATATATGTATATGTATATATGTAGTATGTATATATGTATATGTATATACATACACGAACAAGAGAGACAAAGAAAGAAACAACAACAACAAAAAGAAAATTAGGGCTTTAAAAGCTACAGCATCAAGTGTCAACTAAAGAGCAACTTGTTTTATTATGTTCAGTGTTTTCGAACATTTCACGGTGTCACCCTGAAGGTTACATGAGGCTCAATAACTGCTCACTCTTGTAAAAGAAAAAACTGAGGGCTAGAGGTTAACTTGGTCAGTGAACCAGCTACTACATGAAAAAGCTGGAATTCACACCAAAAATTTTCGGACTCTGAAATACAGGCTTCTGAACAAGATGCTCTGCTAATTTCTCAAGAGGACCACAGAAGAAGCCAGTTACTGGGTAAACTCCCACCCTCCACTCTTGGATAACACACAAGTTTAGAGCTTTCTTCCATCAAACTCTGACTACCCATAAATGAATAAATAAAACCTGCTGTAATAAATTCAAAAAAACTTAGATTTACAAAACAGGTCCTCAAGAGTATATGCATTTGTTTTGTAAAATAACTTCATAAAAGAATCTTCAGTGTGTTCTCTTTTCCAGAGTGAATATAATTATGTTTTTAAAATTTATTTTCTCTAGACTGCATATTCTGCAAATGTCAGGATGTCCTTTTTTGCATTTCAGCAAGATTCTGACTATATCATTGACAATTTTTTTCTATAAAACTCATGTTTGTTCATGAGAAATACGCCCAAACAACAATAATCACCTTCAATAGTAGACCATTAATTTTTAATAATCAGTTTTCCTTGAAATTACATGCTGTCTTTAAATGAGTCTCATCATGTATATACATACAAACACATAAGCTATTTTATATTTTATATATATATATATACATACATACATACACACAGATATATATGCAAATATTAAAGTCTTAACTTTTGACTCCCTAACTTGAAATGATATCATATGACTCTACAGTGAGTGGAAGCAATACAAATGGTGCTGATATTTTAAAAACTAATTCCCGCACATTATACGTAATACACAGTCAACTACTAACCCATGTTTCCCCAACATGCTGCTGATAGAACAAGATTTATCTCCCAAGTTATGATTCTATAAACCTGAGTTCATTGCAGAATGCTATGTTAGGTCATGTGGTAAAACAATACTTATGAATATGTAGTAAAAACCAAAAGTAAAATCCATGAAGCTTTAATTACAAAAAAACCCCCACATATTTTGACCTAAATTCCTGGTAATGTGACTAAAAATTTCATATTCTTTCATAATAATTTTTTAAAAATTAAAATTCTGAACTGTTATATTGATTAGCAAAATTTTAACAAGAGTGGTATTATTCTACATAGACTTAGATGTAACTCATCTTTAATATATTTCCCAAAGTATGTACCTTGAAACCTTACATTCGGCTGTCAAAGAGAGTCACGAAATAGTACATGTTCTATTCCTCTCTTGGGGACTGATAACACAGATGGGCATTGGATAAGCTCCTAGAAGTTCTGCACTTAAAAATAAAATTAGCTTTATTCAATCCCTCATCTCCTTAGCTTATTCTAGTCACAGAACCTTTTTTTGTTGCTGTTGTTTTGTGCTTAATATTTATTAATGACCTAGTATGATTAGTATCACAGGAAACAGACCTTGAAAACCATGATCACAAGAAACAGACCTGGAAAACCATGATCTATGTTAATAGGAAGGAAAGAATTAAAGTAAGTAGATAAGTAGATGATACCAAAAACATTTGTATTAATTTTTGGAAAACAAGTTATTCATCAGCAGATTTTTCTTTTAGAATGTTATTTTTAAAAGATAAAAAGATAATTAATTACCTACAGGTATAGCAACCATTTTAAAAGCAGAATAGGAACACAATGAGGACCCCAAAACCGCAAGATACTCTGGGTTTACCTGTAAGAAAGTATTGGGTTTACCTGTACAAAACCAAAATACACCCTACTTGTATCTGGGTTTACTTGTATAAAACCAAAGTAGGTAAGACATGTGGTATAAAATGACAATTGGCAATGCATATTTAATCCTTCTCTAAGATCACTTCTAAGGCATAAAGAAAGACAGTGAGTCGTTCATTATTAAAAGGCTGACGTCCAGCATACTTACACTGCCCATTCAAGTTTCTCATTCTTGATTGAGTTATACAGAGCCTGTAAAGAGAGAAAACGAGATCAAATTATTCTTTCCATTCTGTTCCAGTTTTTGAATTCAGCAAATGACCAAGCAATTTCTTCATAACAGGATGGGCAGGAAGCCCCTCTTGTCAGTCATCTTGGTTTTAGAAAGGTGAGGAATACATGGGAAGGCAAATGAACGTTGGGTGAAGCGCATTTCATGAAACAAAGAGACTTTCACAAAGTAAAACTGTCTGTTATCAATAAGGCACAGTATTGTACTGCATTGTTCTATAGTAAAATATTACAATGTGATTAAAATTAGACTGTGCATGCTATTTCTCATATTGAAAATACGGTCTTATAGTTTCACTCAGTTGGACAGTGGAGTACTCATACCTTTCTTTGTTTTTGAAACAGAGTCTCACTCTGTCACCCAGGCTGGAGTGCAATGGTGCGATCTTGGCTCACTGCAACCTCTGCCTCCTGGGTTCAAGTGATTCTCTTGCCTCAGCCTCCCAAGTGGCTGGAATTATAGGTGTATGCCACCACACCTGGCTAATTTTTGTATTTTTAGTAGAGACAGCGTTCCACCACGTTGGCCAGGCTGGTCTTGAACTCCTAACCTCAGGTGATCCGCCCACCTCAGCCTCCTAAAGTGCTGGGATTACAGGTGTGAGCCACCACGCTTGGCCATATTCCCGCCCCCACCTTTTTTTTTTTTTTTTTTAATAGGAGAAATATAATTGTTTTCATGGCAATTTAAAGAGTAAGATACATGATAGGGGGACTAAAGCCAGAATGAAAAAGCATCTTAGAATAGTTTTAGAGTTTCTATACTACTGACTTAAGTAGTTTTTTTTTTCTTTTTTCTTTTTTTTTTTTTGAGACGGAGTTTCGCTCTTGTTACCCAGGCTGGAGTGCAATGGCGGGATCTCGGCTCACCGCAACCTCCGCCTCCTGGGTTCAGGCAATTCTCCTGCCTCAGCCTCCTGAGTAGCTGGGATTACAGGCACGTGCCACCATGCCCAGCTAATTTTTTTTGTATCTTTAGTAGAGACGGGGTTTCACCATGTTGACCAGGATGGTCTCGATCTCTTGACCTCGTGATCCACCCACCTCGGCCTCCCAAAGTGCTGGGATTACAGGCTTGAGCCACTGCGCCCGGCCAGTAGTTTTTATTAAAACTGTAACACTCTAATTCTGCCTTACAGTCAAGTATTACATTGAGGTGTGTGTATGGTCATGGTAGACTGGATAGAAAGCTTTTTTAGACCTTTGGTAACAATAATGTTATAGTTAAGTCAGCACAAGACTGCCTCCCTGATTCTCTCAGCTCTAGCATTAACAAAGGCCCTTGTAGTCAATTTGTTCCACTATACCAACTACCAAGAAACTGTTTTTTAAGAGACAGGGTCTTGCTACATTGCCCAGGCTGCAGTGGAGTGACTATTCACAGTTGTGATAATAGCACACAACAGCTTCCAACTCCAGGGTCCAAGTGATCCTTCTGCCTCAGCTTCCTCAACAGCTGGGACTAGAGGCACATGCCACAGTGTCTGGCTTTACTTTTAAATTTTAAATAAAATGTTACAGGGAACACATAAATGCATTTCTAAGATATAAAACCACAATAGCAAAATGTATTGAACAAAAGAGTAACTGTATGCATAACAATATTGTGATGATATTGGAACGTTTTTCCTCAAAGAATGACTTGAATCAATTAGAACTTGAAGGCTTAGCAAAGACCTCACTTAATCATTTACTCTGAGATAGGAAAAAGGGGATCACATGTCATCCAACCTCTTATCTTTCAGACAAGAAAAGGCAGTTTCAGAACAATGTCCAAGCAGCACAGCAGAGAAAGAGAACTGCTTTGCATTTCTATCATTTGCCCCTTAACATTGTCTCATCCAAGTGTTTACATGTGTGTAAGCAAACACCACCCACCAATAGCGAATTCACTTTTAGCAAAATACTTCCAAAGTCAGTACAAAATTTATTTAAGTCGCAGATTTGATATTATTTACGATTCAATACATGTATTCTTAGCCACTGTCTTGACAATCTTCATGAAAGTTCTCCATTGTGACTGTAATAGTCAATTCAACTAATGAAGAATTACAGTAGCTAATAAAAATCAGGTCACATTTTGTATCTTTCAGGACACGATATATATTCTCAAACACAAAAATAATAGAACATACAATTAAAATAAGGAATACACTGAGGCACAAAGACCATGCTATAAACTGGATATTTGTTTTGAAGAACTCAAGTTTACTGAAGAACTACAATCTATAATATAGTTAATGTCTCATGAGGCTGAACACCTATGGAAGCACAAAAAGTTAAAATCTAACTCAAGTCTCAGTAGGGCTTTTGCTGGATAAATGCCTTTTAAATGAATTGTATTACTTGCATGAACAATTTTGAACACATAAGTAACAGTGGGCCAAGAAACTACAAATGAGAAGAGACAGATCATTAAAGATTCTTTAGCTGCTACTATCATACTCAGTATTACCCAGAGTAATTCACAACATGGCAAACATTTAAAAAAAATCTGTTCATAAAGGTAGACAGTTTAAATGACATCTAAACATCTAAAATTTTTCTAATACATTCATTTCTGTTCTAGCACATTTTTCTTCAAATACTTTTGCCCTCAAGAATATTTTGCTTAAAGAAAAGTGAAATTCTAAATTTAAAAATTATAGCTATTCAATCAGCCAGATATCTTATGAAGATAATCTATTATAAAGCATCTTGCCAAATTCCACAGACTCTCAGTATTGTAGGTCAAGTCCTCTCTCTGTGTAAATAATATAGAATAGATTTTTTTTTTTATTACAGCATGCCAAATCCAAACAGTGGATGTCATCCCTCTTCTTTTCAATAGCAAAACTACAAAGGAATCTTCCTGATTCTTTGTAGTGCTTTATCATGATTCATTACTTTTCTTAATAAAAGGAAGATACTTTACAAATGCATCCAAGACTTACATATACTCACAACACAACTTCCCATCTTTTTATCTACTCAGCCTAGTTAAGAATTGAATTCCCTTGATTCTTCTTTATCTCTAGCCTGACGGTCATTAATTCCTTTCTCATGCAGCCTAGATACCATGGTCTCTCACTTTAACCAGTCTAGTTAATATCTTCAACTTTTTTGTTCTGCTGTTTTACACGAAAAAATTAATAGATACTATGTAATTCTGGTTTTTTTTTTCTTTTTGAGAAAGAGTCTTGCTTGGTCTCCCAGGCTGGAATACAGTGGTGTAGTCTTAGCTCACTGTAGCCTCAAAATCCTGGGCTCAAGGGATTCTCCTGCTCTAGCCTTGTAAGTGGCTGTGGTTATACCTATATAACTCTTGATCAGTTCTACTCTGATTTCTCTACACGAAAATGCTAAAGATTAGTTAAGATTTCCTTTACTTTCAAATGTCAAATACCTAAACACTACCTTAAAGGTAAGGAGACCCAATAGTTAATGTAGTCAGATTATTAAAAAAAATGTGGATGTAATAGCCTCAGGGATCCAGGAACTTAATTCTCTTCTCTCAGTTCTCCTCTTTCTACCCCAACCATCTCCAGTCCTTGTATCTCCGCTACACAAGAAACACATCCAAAACAAGCCACACCTTTTCCCAGCTTGTCTCCAACAACAGCAACAGCAACAGCAACAGCAGCAAACTAGCTCTTTCTCCCAGCTCCAGTATGAAAAGTCCCAGGAGAGTCCCTGTCCTTCCCATGGACAGATCTGTGTGGCTAGGAGATGCAGTACTATGACTGGGCCCAGTTCTGAAGCCAAGGGGACTAGGGGTTTGGGAGAGGGTGGGTATTAATGAGGGGTAGCACTGACCTAGCCACTAGTATAATCTCTTGAACTTCACAGTCTCCCCAATTAGTATGTGACTAATTCAGCACTATTAGAGAAAATTAAACAATAGAACAAATTAATGCCATTGAATATTCATGAACTCAAACTTCAGCAGGGTCTTCATTCATGAGCCTCTTCTTGCCATCTCCTCTACCTGTCTCTCCTTTCTGATGATAAGGGGAGAACCAACAAAATGGGGTTTCAGAACTTAAATCAGAGATCAGGAAACAAAGGTTTCCTTATATAGATGAGGGAATGAAATTTCATGTTAACTAACTGTTCTCTATGTCCCACAGCTGTTTTTCACAAACACTGACTCAAGTAAATACACTTCATGTTTACATCAACTACTATATTCTCTTCTCCTAAGACCAAACCTTATAGCATCTTATATGACTGGCCTAAGTCAGAGCTCATTTGAAAAGATAGTAAGACTTGTGCCTCTCTTAGAATATATTCAAATAATCTGGTAATGTTCTATTCTTAAAAGATGAGCTTTAAAGAGCCACTGTTGCTAGGACACATGCTTGAAGTGCCTTTGTCAGTGAGGATGACGGGCTGGCTGCACTGATCCTATAATCTCAGTCCATTTAGGACCAAAAGCATTTGTTAAGACAATGGCTAAAACTGGAGGCGTAGTACATGGCTCAGAAAAATAATTTATCTCTGGCTATGTGAAGGGTTATCTGGGCTAGCCCCAAGAGGGCAGGGCTTGTAGGGAAACACTGCTATGGACTGGTAGTTAGAAATAAGTGGGGAAAGTTACCACATGGACCTTAATGTGCCAGGGCAGCCCATATGAATACATTCAGTGAAGCAATAACAGACTGTGGAAGGCTGAAGAATGGCTCCCCAAAGATGTCCAGGTCCCAATCTCTAGAACTTGTGAATGTTACCTTATATGGCAAAAACTTTAAAGATGTGATTAAGTTAAAGAACTTGAGATGGGGAACGTACGTGGGTGGGCTCTAAATGCAATCACAAGTGTCTTTATAGAAGAAGGCAGAAGGAGATTTAAGAAAGACAGAAGAGAAGGCGACATGAAGAGGAATATGGAAATCAGAGTTACCGACATAAGTCAAAGAAAGCTGGCGACCACCAGAGGTTAGAAGAAGCGAGGAAGAGATTTTCCCCTGGACCCTCCAGTG